TTTAATGACGCTGTTCCAACAACCCTATCAACTGGCTCAACGTTAGGTGTCTGCGCTAAACATTTTACACAGGAATCCTTTACAACGTTCATTTCGAGTAGGACAATAATGCCTACAGAGTCAGAGTGCTGTATAGAGATGGAACAGGCATAGTTAGTAGTTTAATTACGGTTATTATAACGTATTTGTCATATGCTTGTATGTATACATTATTTATTAATAGCCTACAAGTCTGCTGTTTCGGACCAGATCCGAATGATGATCAAACATATACTGATGAGTTTAATAAAGTTTATTGTACATCACACAAGATGAAGCATCAGTTTTACTTCAGAAAATTACCGTAAGAGCTGAGTAAACACAGTAACATTAAGTTATAAGAAGTGCGTGAACGTGAAACAAGGCAAAAACAACACATGATAGCAAACGTGATCTCTATAACCACTGTAAGCTGATAAAAAGTAGACTACATCTCAATTATTGTAATCTAGATTACAATAACGGAGATGTAGTCTACTTAATAAAAGGTAAATATTTAAATAAAAGGTAAACTTATGTGGGAGAAAATAGCAACAAACGTTTTAGCTCGTTACTCATGTTAATGTATGTCTCAGTCAAAATTATTGTCTTTACCGTTCAGAGACATGTTGATGTAGACGTCCTTCCATGGACCTTATTCAGAGCAGCGCCATGTTGGAAAGTGAGGCTGTGAGGGATAGACTTACCGTGTTTCCAATGGCATCCGCTGTAAAAAGCTAAATAAAGCGGCTAGATTACTTACAATTTTCCACAGCTTATATTGTCGGGAGTTTTTTGTCAACTGACATTTCTTGGAAAGATATTTTTCCAGTGTTTCATAAGCAGAACAATCCGAAAACACATTAAATAACAGTACAGCCCATTGAAGAGATGCAAGTCTATCCCTCACAGCCTCGCTTTCATTCTCATTAAAAATCAAAGATGGCGCTGCTGTGAATAAGGCGTATTGACTCTATATATTCCGTTTCCAGCTCTGGCTCAAACATATATGGTTGAATTCCGTAGGTCACGGCCAGGTCGGGTTCATTCACAACTTCCGTCATTTTGGAATGATATGCTGAAGTTACCTGCGGTGTCAAGCCCCCTCCTTCCTGCCCCCAATCAACGCGCCCCTCATTTGCATTATTAAAATGACCGCCCACGACAGCCAAAATATCGCATCAGATCTCGCGAGACAATAATGCATTCAGAAATAAGGGTCAGAGGAGCTCTGTGTTTATTTTTTTTCCACTTTTCTTTTTTAGAAGGGCCTGATAAGACTATAAGAGAGCGTGGGTATCCAAGGTAATACTAGGTTATGACTCCTTTAATATAAAGTGGGACCAAGATTGAGAGGTCAAACATGCTCAAATTGTGATTTATAAGTTAGTCTTACAAGAGAAAAACTTTTTCTTATTGAGCTCATCAGACAAAAACACTGGTGATGCAATAAAAAAAAAAGTCCAGATACTATCCGGATACAAACTGCATGTTAATGCCAGGTGTAATGGGAGTCATAAGCTGCATACAGATGCTACATTCTCCAGCTGAGCTTTCAACTGTGAGAAATTGACATTCTAATATGAAGCAATGAAATGCACACTTATCAAAGTTACACACAAAAAGCTTCACCTTTCGATGGACGAGCGGTCAGGAACCTTCTTTTACCAAAGAGCAATTTTTTTCTTTTTTCATTAATACATTTTCTTGAAAGAGCCAATGAAAAAAAAACAAATATTTTACTATTATTAATTAATTAAATTTTTTTTTTTCAATAACATTTTAATAATAATAATAATAACATTATTTAGGTCCTTAGCAAATCTAAAAATAGAAAAAAAGCAACAAACAATAGTCTCACTGAATTAATAATGCAGGGGTTTCACTGTAGAGTTAAGTTTCCACCTGAACAGCTTAAAACCTTTTCAGTGTGTGTGCGTGTGTGTCCAATCACCGGAAATGTTTTATGCTCCTCTGAATTCTTTATTTTCACCATCTCCACAAACTAGGCAGTTGCTTGTATCTGAGCCCCAGAGGTTACTATGGCTGTTCACACACTGGCATATAATATTGTTGTGATGTATTTGACTCCCTAATATGGTTGCATTCACACACAGTTTAGTTATTTATGGGAGTGACAACCGCATTCTATCAACGAACTCTCACCTATAAACTTTCGGGACTCACAACCCCATTCTCTGCAAACCCTAGCTGTGTGAACAGCACTAGACAACTAGTCGTCTGTCACGTCATACAGTGAAAGAACCATTCCGCGCTGCACATAAGTGTCTCGTATGGACAAGCATGTTTTAATTTTCGTTTTGTAATAACAGAGACGAAGATACAGTACAGTATGAGCATATGTCTGAATGTCATGTAAAGGTTTAAGACTGATTTCCATTGGAAATGTATATTTGTGTGGTGTAGTCTATAGCCTACCACTCAGGTATACATTTGATGAACACGTGCTGTCGACTGTGATAATAATTTCCATTTTTTTGGGAGTATTTGATATGTACTTAGTTTAATCACTGTTACTATGGTTAAAGGTGATATTCATGGCAAGCATCATAACAGAATACAGGCTTGTGACTTTAGTTGTTCGAACACACCAGGCTTGGTCAAAATTCTGAATTTCAGAATTATCCTCCATTCAATTCATGAATTGGAATTTGAATTGAATTGACTCAGCCCCCCAGGAATTTCATTTCTGTAAATCCGTTTCTGTGAATGAATGACACTCTCTCTGTTACGGCGTTCTGTCTTCCTGATTCTGCCATCTCTCAACCACGAGCGCCTTCTCCTGAGTTCTAGTGGGTTGCATACTTTCTCATTAGTATGCATCATTTGCGTTGTGATTACCTGTCACCTGTTCTGTATTACTACTCATCCCTAAGCCTTTATCTGCCTCATTAACTGAGCATCCTGTGCAAAGTATTGCCTCTCTACATGTGCATGTCCGAGCTGTTTCTGTGATCAAGTTAACCTTTGTTTCTGACCCTCGCTATTCTAACTTCTCTGATTATCTGCAGTCTGCTTCTCGACCCTCAGCCTGATCCGGATTCTGATTCCAGCCGCCTGCCCTGAACTCTAGCCTGTCCCTGGTACTGTACGCTAGCCGCCTGCCCTTAACACCAAGCCTGTCCCTAGTTCTGCCCGCTCACCGCCTGCCTTCTACCTACTATTTGGTTCGACTCTGCTTTCAGTTCCGTATTAAGTTCCATATCAACTACTAAGTACTACTACTAACCTATAAAGCCCTAAATGGTTTAGCTCCTATGTACTTAACGGACCTTCTTTCGCCCTACAACCTAGATAGCACAAGGCTGTTTGATCTCCTATTTACATCTGGAAGACGTATTTTAAAGAGTGTTTGCTCATCTGCAAGACGTCTATAAGACGTTTCCTGCAGATGTCAAATAGATGTTTAGAAGATGTCATCATCACCTCATTACTGTGACTATTTCTTTGATGCAAGATGTTACTAGATCTCAGTGGCACTTCAACAATAAATTGCTCCATGATGTAACATTCTGTGAGAATTTTAAAATTCTATGGCAGAAGAAAAAAAGTTTATTTGAGTCTTTAAATAAGTGGTGGGAAGTTGGAAAGGCTCAAATCAGAATTTTTTTTTTTGTCAACAATATACTTCTTTTTCTTCTGTAATGTTAAAACAGGCTATAAATGAAGTTGAGGAGGGCATAAGATAGATTGAAAATGGCCTTTTAAATGGCGAGGATGCTGAAAGTAATGACACATTGAAAATAAAGAGTGGAGCTGAGTTCCTTGCTGCAAGAAAAAGTAAAAGGGCCCCCTGATGAGGTCAAGATACATTCAATTAAATGATATGGATGCCTCGAGTAAGTTTTTCTTCAACTTGGAAAAAAACTAGTGTGAAAAATCAGCATATGACATGTCTGAGATGTCTGGATGGGCATGTAACAACTGATGGAGGGGAAATGAGAAGATGCACAATGTGATGAAGAATGTGTCCAAGAACTCTTAGAAGGTCTGCCTAAACTTAGCGGAATTGAACAAACAGACCTGGATAAAGGACTAAGCTTGGAGGAACTCACTATAGCTGTTAGTCAGCTGACTTCGGGGCGCTCACCTGGAATAGATTTAGTAGGACTTAGTATTGACTTTTTAAAACATTTCTGGGGGACTATAGGATCTGATGTTCATGAAGTCCTGATGAGCTCTTTTGAACAAAGCTTACTTCCAACTTCTTGTAGAAGAGCTGTTTTAACATTACTTCCTAAAAAAAGGAGATTTATCTCATCTTAAGAGCTGGAGACCTGTTGCGCTTTTATGTACTGAGTATAAAGTTATAAAGGTTGAAGCCTTATATTGGCTTACTTGTGCATATGGATCAGACCTATTGTATTCCAGATCGGACTATAATGGACAATTTATTTTTGATGAGAGATGTGTTAGACGTGTGTAAAGTGTGTGATCAGAATGTCAGACTTTTATCCTTGGACCAGGAGAAAGCGTTTGACAGAATCGATCATAGTTTTTTGTTTTCTGTCTTAAAAGCTTTTGGAGAGAGATTTATTGCCTGGATAAGTCTCCTCTATAATAGAGCTTCATGCATGGTCAAAGTGGGGAGAGGTCTTAGTAGACCAATTCCAGTGAAAAGGAATGGTTTTAGGTTACCAAATTGGAATTTTGAGTCCCCTTTAGTTGTTTCAGCATATGCTGATGACATCAATATATTCATAAAAATGATCCCAGATAGCACTGAACGTCTTGCCAACGTTGGCAATTGGAGGGCACCAGCGGCAAAGTATCGGGAGGGGATTTTCCCCAGCACAACAAAAAAACTTTGGTGGGTAAACCATCGGCAGGCCGCGGGATGAATAGCCACTTTCATGCACAACTCCGGAGATCGTTGGAGGAACCGTGTTGAACCATTTTGCCGATCCCGCTTCTATTTTTTTAAATAATATCTGCGCAACCGTTGGTCCACATCAAGACCTTCACGCGCGTGCACACGTTTTTATGAGGGTGAGCTATGCGCGTGAGTGATCTCAGCATCGTCTACACTACAGCCTACAGCTAAAGTCTACAGCAACGGACTCTGTGAGTATGTTTATCCTTTTCAAACACACCGTTTTCAGGCCAGTAAGTGTTTATTTTGTTTTATGTACTTATTTTTTTATTGAAAAATATAATTTTGTTAGAAAACGTCGAGTTTTCTGAGAAATTTTTACGATACGGATGACAGAGATTGGCGGCGGAGGATTAACAGTTATTGTTTAACTGTTGACTTTAGTAATTATTTACTAAACTAATACTAAACGGTCATAAAACTATGGACTGACTTTTTTCCAAACAATCATACATCTGTCCATTTATAATATTAACCCCTTACACTCAAGGGATTTTTAATTATTTTGTTTAAGTGACATATGCTAAAAATTAAAGCAGCTCTTTTGTTGTGCGTTTACCGTGAAAAGTAGACCTGTCAATCAAAGATCTAGTTTAGTACAAGCGGGACAGTCATACAAAGAAGTGGTTATAGTAAAGTGATAGTAAGTGAAGACACACAGCTATTCATAAAAATAGAGCCTTAACATTTGTTAGTTAAACAAAATAGAATGGTCTTTTCTGTTTTTTCAGTGAGTGATTTTTGTAAGTGATTGATCTAGAAGTCATCCTACAGTTCTGAATTGCCATTTTCTTAACATACTGTTTTAGTCAATAAAGATAAATTGAGTGCACATTAATTCACAAAGGCATTTGCAATATATTTGACTCCTTTTCATGTTTCTTCTTTTTTTCAACAGGAGCTACATACACCCCAAAGGCTCTTTTCAGAGCCCAGGCCCATTTTGCACAGCGTCTTTGCCTTTGTACAGTAAGTATGCGTTTTAATTGACCTCAAAGACAACTGAAACACCATCTTTAACTAATCTAGTTAAAAGTTATTTTGCACATGATTTCCATTACACGAGAGTAGATGTTAAAACTTCATGCAGATTTGTACTCGGCTTTCGCCAAGATTAGCACAAACTAAGACGTAGCTTTATAGTAAACTATGCTTCTCCATCCATTTACACTTCTTTCCATATGTTGGTGTGACTCCCCTTCTGTCCGGCATTACGGCTGCAGTGTACTTGCCGCGTCAGCACACACGACGGCTGGAACTACAGTATCTAGGGTCTTCACATATTGATACACACGTATGTAATAACTTTCCCCTGTTTGCTTGTCTTGATTATTGGCATCCTAAGATCCTAAAAAATGTGACCTTTACCTGTCTCTGCCTTTACTGTCTGTACTATTAATTTTGCATCAGGAAAGCCTATACCTTATAGTGGAGCGAGTGGACTAGTAGCAAAGGAATGGTTTACAGGTAGGCCAGGGCAGTAATGTAGTGGAAATATTTATCTTTGACCTAAATAAGGTTACAGGAGAACTCCATTGTCAACATCAGGTTAATGCTGAGTGCTGTAACGTTGCAAATTTTATGTTTATGTTGGTATAGATATTTGTCAACTGTCTATCACTGTCAATAATAGGTATTTTTTGTCACTCACCAAATATGATAGAGGCATGGCAAACTCAAATTTTTCTGGACACGATAATTTACATTTGCATGCTTGTTTATTTTCCTCGTCGTCTCTCTCTGTCTCTCTATACCAAAGAGACTGGATGACAAACTCTCGGTTCCTTAGCGTGAACTAGAGCTTAGATTCTCTGCCCGAGCAAGGACTTGACCCGACCTGGGCTGACACTATCCTCGGGTCGGGCCTTTGATCTAGAGACGTGCACTCCCAACACAATAGAGTGCGGCGCTGCACTAGATTCGATGGCCGAGTGCAAGCGGTAATGCACTCACTCTGTGTGTGCGGGTTGCGGGAGAATAAACCGATTTGCGGTACTCCCGCAAACTAGAAATATCTATTTATAAAACATATAAAAACTAATAGATTTTTAGTCATCTGCAAGAACAACTAAAACAAAGTAGTAACGATTTACAGGCCAGAGTTTCTATTTATAACATGTTTGCATTATTGAGCGATGTAGCCAATCACAGACATGTTGATTTCTTGAACGCCAATCAGAAGCATTTAAGATATACTTCCCTCACTGCTGAAAACAGACTTTTTTTATTCAGTGCTGAATTCTGTATGCTGGCAAATCCTCTAATTATAACAAACAAAGTGTAGCCTAGATATTATATGAGATTCATTGTGCAGTCCGCTTCATTGGTAATAACAGAGATGTGTGAGATCGTGATGAACTGTCAGCTTTTTTGGAATTATTAAGGGAGCACATTCAGCCATGCCAGACTATGCACGCAGTAGCTGCTTGCTTTATGTTAAATTAACAGTGGTTTGTGTGTTAATGTTTTAATAACAAATAATTTAGGGTATGGTCGGGTTTTGTTTACAACCATTTTATTTGTATTTTGGGTATTTATTCAAGTGCATTTTCTGATAACCGGGACATTGCTTTTATTGTTTTTTGGTTGTTTTGTTCATTTATTGTGTATATTTAAAATGTTTTCCAATTTCAGTGAGCTTCATATGTTTTTTGACTTTTTGATCATCCTCTTTGTATCACACAGAGTATGTCACCCATGTCATATTTCTCTCTGTTCGATGTGATCAATATGATAACTAATCTTTGTAAAAACGTTTCATTTACAGACCATTGCAACTTAGATCACCATCACCACCACCATCCCCTGCATCAGACACCCTAAATCGTGCCCTTCATCAGACACCCTACAGTAAATGCACCACAAACAACACAGGCAAAGAAGAAGAAAACGCACGACAAATCTCCTCCAGCCCATCCCACATCATCGTATAGTAAAGGTAAGTGTCCCCTCTGTAGTAAACTGCATCAGGTCCCTAAACTCAAGTAGACACAGTGTACTGCACAGGTCCACAGCGCATACCATAGTTTGGTGTTCCAGATATGATTTTGGAGTTTATATTGGTAGTGTGATAAGTTAGCCAAGGTTTTCTGTCTTTCCAAGAGGCCGCAGTTAATATTTAAGAAGGAGGACTGGAGGACTGATATGGAAGCACATGGGTAGCAATATTCAATTTGAAATGTAATATGCAAAATAACAAAGCAATATGTAAAATGGCATTGCATTGTGTATTTAAATTTATATTTTACATTCTAGCAACGTTTGTTGCAAAATGAAAATGAAATTACATAATTTACATTTGCCATTTCATACACTAGTTTTAATATGCATATTGAAACGCTTTATAAGTGTCAAAATTAAAATGAAAATGCATTACAGAAATGATTAGATATGTGTAACATGTTCAAGCAAAAACTGTGGCAAATTTAATGATCATTCAAATGTTACTTTTCTTAATTGCGTTTACACTCACAGTCAAGACACTTGCGATTGCATTTTCATGAAATTCATTTTCATTCAAATTGAATATTGCTACCCATGTGCTTCCATAGGCTTTCCTGACTGTAAGCTATTTAAGACGCAGACAAAGAACACACTGACACACACTCACAAACACACACACAAACACATATAGAGCACAGCACAGTTCCCTTTAGAGGGAACTCTACACTGCGTCGAGAATCGACACTTTGGGGACGCTCCCTAAGCGTGCGCCTCTGAAGTATGAATGAAACTAATCCAATCCTGATTGGTGTTGCATCGTGACGTAACATGTGACGGCATACCCGGAAGTATAAAAGTGACGTTGTCACAACACACACTAGCTTTCGCTCTTCAGCAAGCGCTTTATGTTGAAACTGTCTGTCTTATTTGGTGTTGTTTGTCACTCAGTTTGAACTGGAAATGGCCAGCGAGCAATTTAAAAAGATGTGTGCATCTCTGCCCTCGTTATGTCACAGGTGGGGACGCACATGCTTTGTGTGTAAATTGTTTGGGAGCGCAGCATGACTTGTGCAGACTGTAAAGCACTTCCTATTAGAGTGCTGCGCTCCCGGCTGGCGTGCTTTGATGAGCACGGTCAGGCTTGCGTTCCCTGCGTTTCTGGTCCCGCGTCCGTTGAGGCGGCGCGGCGATTGAGATCGTGGGGTTCACAGCGGGATCTTGCAGACGAGAATGAGACTGCTGAGGCACTTTCTCATTCATCGTCTGATGATCCCATAGCCCCTGTGAGTGGCGCAGAAGTCCGCGCCGCGGCTTCTTCTGACCACGATCAGGTCCCGATACTCAGGCTCTCTGCTTCCAAGGAAGTAGACGTGCTCAGTATCGATACGGATGACCGTGAGTTAGGCGCGCCAGTTCACGGCCAAGCATATGAGGAACTGGTGAGGTTGTGACTCGTGCCGTGGCCAGACTGAACTTCAGCTGGCCACAAAATGAGGAGGGAACGCAAGTTTAAATAAATTGCGTTTCATGCGGCACGGGTCACAGCCTCAGCGCCGGAGTTTGCCGTTTTTCCCCGATCTCCACTATAAGATCATGAGATCGGGGGATGAACCGCATTCGTCCCGTGTTTCCAAACCCAGTGTCCTAAATTCTTGCGTTTGCCGAGGCAGCGTGTAGATTATGAGTCTACTCTGCAATAAAGATTCTGTGACTGCAGCGCGTAGATTTAAGGTCTGCATTGCAATACGGAAACTTTGACTCGGATCTCTCGTTTGTCGAGGCAAATTTTCTCTCGTGAAAATTACGAGTCTCCTTTCCAATAAGGGGAACTGGCCTGTTCTCCGGCGCTGTAACTTCAATCGTCGACAGGTTTAGGAATAAATAAATTATATATATATATATATATATATATATATATATATATATATAGTAAATAAATAAATATATATAAGATATATATATAAAATATATATGTTGTCCCGCCGTTTTGAACGTTTCGGGCTACATCGATTTCCAGCGAACGCACACTGTGGCGTTCACCCCGACTGTGGTCAAAAAAAAAATTTTCTCAACTTTTTCCTGCTGGTCATCCGCTTCAGGGACTCGAAAGACACCCGAGGTCGGTCTCAAGGGGCTGGTTCCCTTAGTAGATTTTGCAGAATGGCTACACCTTCCAATATATCTATATGGGGCCTGAATATTTTTAAACAGGAAACGATGTATGTTGCCCGCCGTCAGCGACGCTTCGGGCCACATCGGTTTCCAGCGAAAATATTATAACGAAGCATCGTTTATGGTCAAAACATCCATATCGACTACAGCCTGCCGGTATTCCGCTTCAGGAAGTCGAGAAAGATGCTCTCGAAAGACAAAACAAAAAAAAAAAAAAAAAAAAAAAACCAGAGGCCACTCTCCAGAGGCTGGTACCCCTAGTATATTTTGTAGAGGCATGGTATCATCTTCCCAACATATCTGCATGGGTCCTACATATAATAGAATCAGGGTACAGACTGCAGTTTGCACACCGCCCCCAAGTTCTCTGGGGTGGTACAGACTACAGTGGTCCCAGAGCAGGCTCAGGTGATGGAACAAGAAGTTCAAACTCTGCTGCTAAAGGAAGCCATAGAACGTGTTCTTCCTTCAGACAGGGGGTCCGCGTTTTACACCCGGTACTTTATAGTTCCAAAGAAGGATTGGGGGTTAAGGCCAATTCTAGATCTCGGGGTTTTGTACCGATCTCTGAATAGGGAGGTGCAGGTTCGAACGGTTAACTCCAGTAATCGTGAGTCAGATCAGAGGACTGATTTGTCACGATAGATCTAAAAGACGCCTATTTTCACTCCATCCTTCCATGTCACAGGATATACCTGAGGTTCGCTTTCGAAGCTTACCAATATCGGGTTCTTCCGTTCGGCCTAGCACGCTCTCCCTGCACATTCACCAAATTTATGGATGTAGCCCTTGCTTCACTGAGACTTCAAGACATCCATATATTGATTTATCTCGACGACTGGCTCATTCTGGCTCAGTCTCGGGAAATGGCAGTTCGGCATCGAAATGTTGTCCTTGGCCACATTCTGAAATTGGGGTTGAGACTCAATGCAAAGAGGAGTGTGCTAGAACCATCCCAGTGTACGACATTTTTGGGAGTCATATGGAACTCGATTACGATGTAGGCACGCATGTCTCCCCCACGTATCGAGTCAATTTTGACGATGGTATCCAGGGTAAAGCTAGGCCAGGCCATCACTGTGAAGCAATTTCAAAGAATGCTGGGCCTCATGGCAGTGACATCCAACATCATTCCTTTGGGGCCTGCTACACATGAGGCCCCTTCAGTGGTGGTTAAAGACCAAGGGGTTTTCTCCCGAGGGAATCCGCTTCGTATGATCAGAGTAACGCGCAGATGCCTTTGTTCTCTGAGAATATGGAAGAAACCTTGGACCAGTGTTGGGAGTGTCATGTCGCCGGGAAACCGTTTCGACAGACGCCTCCCTCACTGGCTGGGGCGCGGTCATGGACGACCGTTTGCCAGGGGTCTATGGCAGGACCATCATCTTTCTTGGCATATAAACTGCCAAGAGATGATGGCTGTGTTCAGGGCTTTGAGGAGCTTCCTCCCAGACATCAAAGGTCACCACGTCCTAGTACGGTCAGTGGTAGCCTATCTGAACCGACAAGGGGGAATCAGATCGCGCCCTCTGTGCAGACTGACGCATCAGATTATCCTTTGGTCCCAAGGGAAAATACTCTCTATGAGAGCAATGTATATTCCGGGGGTTCAGAATCAGGGGGCAGACATCCTGTTGAGAAAACCATACTTAGCTCTTGGGCTCCATCCACCAGGAGATTATATGACCTCAAGTGGAATGTGTTTGTCACTTGGTGTAGAGAACTTGGGTTAAATCCAGTAAACTGCCCGGTGGCTTCAGTTCTGGGATTTCTCCAAGATCGTTTCTCTAAGGGTCTCTCCCCGTCCACGCTTAGGGTGTACGTGGCTGCCATTGCGGTTTTCCACGCACCGTTAAGTGATGGGCCTCTGGGGAGGCACCAGTTGGTCATTCGGTTTCTCCTTGGTACTTGGAGGATGAGGCCGGCAGCCAGGTCCAGGGTTCCTGCCTAGGACCTGGCAATAGTTCTGGAGGGGTTATCCCTGCCCCCTTCGAACCTTTAGAGTCGGCTTCGCCTAAGGACTTAACACTGAAAATGGCTTTTCGCTTAGCAACTACCTCACTTAAGAGGGTGGGAGATTTCCAAGCCCTGGCAGTAATGCCAGCTTGCTTGGAGTTTGCCCCTGGCAGAGTGAAGGCCTTTTTACACCCGAGTCCGGGCTACGTGCCTAAAGTTCCATCGAATACGGCTCATTCTATAGTCCCTCAGGCATTCCATCCTCCACCTCATGTGTCGGCGGAAGTGGAGAGGCTTCACTTGCTCTGCCCAGTCAGAGCTTGAGCTTGTACCTTGAGGGGTCCTCTTCTTGGAGAAGGTTGGAACAATTGGACTAGTATGTTCTGGGTCACCTAAGAGGGGGCTCCCGGCAACCAAACAAACTATTAGCAACTGGATCGTCCAGGCTATTACTGAGGCTTACAAGGTGCGCGGTTTGCCTTCACCTTTTACCTTGTGGGCACAGTCAACTAGAGGCATGGCTTCCTCTAGGGCCCTTCTTTCGGGAGTACCTCTTCAGGAGATCTGCGAGGCAGCCGGCTGGGCTACCCCACATACTTTCATAAAATTTTACAGTCTCCACCTTCCCAGTACACCCGGTGCACAGGTGCTCAGTCCTTGCTGAGTGCCTAAACAGTTTCACTCCAGGACAGGCCTATTCGGTGCGTGGCCTAGTGGGCACTCGTTCCCCAAAGTGTCGATTCTCGACGCAGTGTAGAGTTCCCTCGAAAGGGAACGTCTCGGGTTATGACTATAACCCTTGTTCCCTGAGAAGGGAAC